GTGGAAATCAGGAGGACTATGGCTCAAAGCCAGATGAAATGAAAAATTAGGGAGTTCCATTCAAATAAACAAGCTAGATGTGGTGGGTCATGTCAAACATCCTAGCTACACAGAAGTTTACATAGGAAAATCTTGATCCCAAGCTAGAATTGATGGAAAACCTAAAACACATGAAAAAAAGAAAATAGAAAAAAGGTCTTGCAAACGTATAACTCAGCTGGTAGAACACCTGCCCAAAAGCATGACACTGTTACATCAAACCCAAGTATTGTGAAAAGAAGAAGGAAAAAGAAAAGAAGGAAGAAGAGGAAGAAAATATATCATGGAAAAATTATGCTTAGTACAAAGAGGCATTTAATTGCTGGATATATAATTTGTATTTATCTATTTCCAGAGCAAAACTATTCCAGCTAGATAAAAAGATACAAAGATACAATGGGAACTTCATTAATCTTTTAGCTCTCTAGTTAAGTCATCTCAAGTATGAATAAATCTTCTTTATGCAAATAAAAAGTTGCTGACAAAATAATCTTTCTGGAAATTTAATGATTTCAAAAAACAGGCAAACAGGGGCTGGGAAGGTGGCTCAATGGTGGAGTGCTTGCCTTGCGTGCCTGAGGCCCTGGGTTCGATTCTTCAGCACCACATAAACAAAAAGAAAAAAGCTGGAAGTGGCGTTGTGGCTCAAGTGGTAGAGTGCTAGCCTTGAGCTGAAGAGCTGAGGGACAGCGCCCAGACCCAGAGTTCAGGCCCCACAACTGGACCCAAAAAACAAAACAAAACAAAAAAAACAGGCAAACAAACCATTGCAGTTTTTGTTTTTGAAGTTTGGACAAAAAATTAGCACTCAAGAGCTTTAAAAAATTTATTGATTGTCTTAACACTCAAGGTTTGAAATTTAGAAAACTAAGAACAATATAAATAAGGGCAAAATAAATAGTCTAAAGTCATTTCTGTCTAGGATATTGATTTTTTAACTTTTTGAAACTTTGTTTCCTGTTGGTTAAATGATTAAAAGTGGCATTTCTTCATCAGAAGCACATAACCATTAGCACATAACCATAACATTTGGTGTAAAACTTCATGGTATCTATATCTTTTTGAAGATTGCATATAGCCTTTGTTTGTTCCCATGTTCCTCAGAATATAAAACTCTGACAAACTGTTACAGGTCTGAGAACATTGTGTTGTGGCATAACAAACTCCAGAACAGCTGAAAAACACAACATATGAAAGTGGAAAAACTCAAGTTCCCAGGCTTATGATTACCAGGAATCATTTTAAACTAATAGTCACAAGGATTTTCTGTTAAAAATTTTAAAAGTTTGAATTGCTTTTATTTGATAAAATCATTCTATTTATTTAAAAGCAATATAATAGAAATTCAGAAGATTGTGAGCTGAAATTGAAAAGGCATTAGGGCTTAATCGAACCTGTTAAAACTTAGACTATTAATTTAGTCTTTCCCAACCTGACATATCATATTAGTTTATAATTGTATATTGGCCTATATTATGTTTAAACCCCCTACATGTTCTAAAATTTTATATTTTAGAACAACTCATCTAAGTCAAGTAAACTAAGACAAATAACTTATTCTAAAAATTAGAATAGATGCAATTATTTCTAGAGTAACATATTTACAGGAAGTGCATTTAACTACTAGATGTGGTTGAATTGCTAAATGGCTGAATTTGCAAAAGCGGGCAATAATTAAATCGTTATGCTTGACTCTTATTAAATATTAATGATTTCTCCATGACTTTGAATCAGAAGGGTTTTCTACATGAAAAGTTCTGACTCTACTGTCTGAACGATGAATCATTCACTTTGAGGTGGTCTTCCTCTGCTTTAAGCTACTTGTAGACATTATCAGGGAATTTAACTATGACTGATTATGTTGTACTTGGCTTTTCACTTATTTTTTATTGAAGGGAGATTTTTCAATATTGGTATCAGTATGTTTTAGCCTACACAAACAAAAGATTTTCCTCAGGAAAAAAGCTTGACATTAAAAAAAAAGAAAAAAAGTAATGTACTCAGCCAAGACTCCAGCCATCTGAATGCATTCACCATTTGTGTGGCTTTAAATCTGGCTGTGCACATGCCAGAAACACAGATCAGAAACGCATCTGGGCAGCAGAAGCTGGTCAGTATGGGCCCCTCCACCTCCTTTTGTTGTTTGTTTTTGTAACACATGTTAGGCACCGAAGAGACAAACAGGGACAAAATAGCCTTTTCCTTTTCCATCTGGTTCTCTGCCAGCGATACAAAGCCCAGGCAAAGCATCAGATTTCAATGTTATGATTGCCTAGAAACCTTACTTTCTTCTCTATCCATTACCATTCTGCTTTGTCACTATTTCTCCACCAATAATGAATGATGGAGTAAAATAACATGCATGGTTCTTTGTACATCACTTATTCCTGATTCCTGGTTGTCAGTTTGTCTTTGTGAGTTAATACCTATGTGTCTTCTTTTATAAGAATATTGCTTATTATGAGATGTACATTCGCAATATTTTAAACTTTTGTAATTGAAAACATATAGACTGAGTAAAAATGAAAAAGTACAATAGAAAAAATATTGATTGAGTACCAAAATACAGATTAAGTGTAAAAATGAATTCTGTGATAGGAAGTGGTTGAGTTTCCACTTTTGGGAACTCAGTTAATTTCTCATGGTAATAACTTTATTGTGGGTTAAAAAAAGCATCCCATGTCAAAAAGAAGCCTGAAAGGAAGAGGGAGATTGAGGGAAGGAGAAAAGAAGATCTGAAGTTTCATGGAACATGTATTATCACATGTCTTTTGCATAGAGAAGAGAACCTGGACAGGAGGGTCACAGGAAAGGATTGCCTCTGATCTGTAAGCAATGGGTGTCAGGGAGAAGATTGTGTCACCTGGCAGTGGAGACTTCAGGGTACTACATGCCTTATTATTATCACTCTATTTCAGTAGGTAGTGTTGTCATAAGCAGAGGAAAGTATAGTTATACATCTATAGAACGACGATCAATTAGGTGTTTTGAAGTTAGAGAGTACCTGAAAAATAAATAAACCCTTACAGTGTTTCAACTTAGAAGTAAGTTTCAGACTTTAGAGATTTAGTAATCATTTCAATTGGCTTAGCGAATAATATTATGTATTGCTAGAATATGATTTCCTTTACTCACAATTTTAACTTATATTTGTAAGCATTCAGATAAGTAAAAGGCATAGAGAGTGAATTTCTGTTCAAACACCAACATTTTGATTCATTTATATCAACTATATTTTATTTTATTTTCATTTTATTTTACTTCCATTTTATTGTCAAGGTGATGTACAGAGGGGTTAGAGTTACATTAGAAAGGTAGTGAGTACATTTCTTTTTGAACTTGTTATCTCCTCCATCATTTTTCTCCACGTCCTGCTCAAGTTGTACAGATAATTTCCAACATAATGTCTTGTGAGTATCGCTGCTTTGATTCATTGCTAAATCATGATCTCATGCCTTCTATAATTTAGTTATATGACTATAAAATGACTATAATTTAGTTATATGACTATAAAATTGTCACACCTGGTGACAATGTCATTAAAACTCCAGATAAAATGCTTTTATTATCTAATACTTTCATTATCTGTTTTGTGTAAGTAAATATCCAAACAATGTCTACATTAAATATTTTGTCATATATGTAAGTCTTAAATATTTTACTATCTTAAACAAGCTTATCTCTATATTTCTTCTCATTATTAATGAAATACACTGTTTAACTTAGTGTCAGAGGCTATTTTATTCCTACAGCTTTACACTTAATTTTCTCTCATATATTAATTCAATAAATGATAACTCTAGAGGTGAATGATTTTCCAAAATACCACAATAACATTGATTTTGTTATTAGTAGATCTTAACAAACAAGTTTGGATTGTGACTAAAAACAAGTAAAATATGTTTTCTTCCAGGGTTGATGAAAAATTGAACAACATAAATTAAATTAGAAGTTTGTTCAACTTGTCTAATATTAATCATATAACATACCAAATGAATTACATATAGCATGCTGTACTTTTGTGATATCTGCTTGGCTTACCTATCCCCAAAATCTGTACATTCTAGAACAGAAACATGGAGGAAAGATCACTATAGAATTGAAGGCCACTCTCTGGGGTGACACTAACTATAGCAAAAGTTCTTTTCACTAACATTGAATTATGTTACTGAGCCGGGATGCTGAGTAGCATTTGTATAAGGAAGACACTTATACAAATGCTACCCAGCATCCCAGCTCAGTAAGGATTCTATCTGAACAGGCAAAAATCACATGAATGCAATAGGTAACTTCTGATACACTAACTTGTTCATCCAGAAGAAATCAACTCCTGAAAATGAATATAACACAATGTTTCTCTTTTACTAGACATGTACTGTTAGCATAAATAATGCCATAGTTGAAAGTAATAAAAAACATAAATCAACAAGAAACCTGGGGTAATTGTACCTTAGATATAATGCATACAAATATAGTCATATCAGGAATCTTCATAGCTACATTATTTTTTCACAATGTTATTATTTCCATTTTTAAAGATGAGGGTATGGAGTTAAGGAAACCTTAGTTAGGGGGCTAAGTGTTGTCCTGAGCCCAGAATTCAGGAAGCTGACGGCAAGAAGATGGTTTAATTTGAGGCCAACTTGGGCTCCATAATGTGACTGGCCAGAAATTAAAAAAAAAAAACAAGAACAAATAAAAAAGCTTATTTCCCCAAGATCACAGACAATAAACAGAGAACCTAAGACTGAGCCAGCCCCACTCTTTCCTATACTCCTGCCATGTTTCTTACCATTGATTTAGAATATTACTATTCTTGTATGAATTCCAGGTATAGATACTTCTTACTGCAATGCTAACTCAAAAACTTACTATGTTTAGGTACTTTTTAAAAATTTATTTGTGCATCATGTACACATTTAATGGTAACTGTATGCATAAACATGCATTATGTTTTACAGGTTATCAGTAATCTTGGTCCTTTGGAACTCATTCTTAATACTCCTAGCCACCATAGAGTTCATCATGGTAAGGAGATCCTGTTCCTTCTTTGTTTTCCATCTTCATTTCTCTAACAACAACAATATTATTATTTTATTTTACCTCATTTCACCAAAATTGCCCCGTATGTTACTATATTTATTGTTTAAACAAAGATAAATTGTTTAAACAAAGATAGCTTGCTCTTTTGTGCCTGGACAAATTTCAACATACATGGACTATGGTGGAGATGGAAGAGAACATTCTGTCTGTATTTTGGATTTTCTTTTTTACCTAGCTCTCAGACTAGTTTCAGTAAGGGAAGATAATGAGATATCCAACAGAAGAGAGAACATTCAATGTCATTAAGGAGTCTGTTGTAGGCTACACTTGGTTATAGGTTATCCTCAACTCTGAGGGTTGTTCCTATTCACGGCCAGAGGGTCTCTAGTTTTGAAAACTTTAAGCATTTAGAAAGACACTAGTAAGTATCTCTCTCCTGCTTAAGTTTATGAAAAAATACAACATAAGCTGCTTTTGCCTAAGCAGAAAATCACATGTGGCTAATGCAGAAAGTTTAAAGACACCAACTTTAATTATAACAATAATGCTTACATTTGTGTACCACAAAACCCAAAAAGAATATGCATAGCAGCATTATTTTAATTGGCAAAAATGAATTCCAAGTTTTATCAGAATAGATTAAGTTATGAACAGCATGGTTCATGTAATAGAGATTCAAATAACAGCAGAAATGTCCAAATCATTGTTTTCTATTCAGTGGCACAAATAAGTCTTAGAACAAATATTGTGAGACAGAGGCCTGTGACAAAAATAATTGCATATTATAATTTTATTTTTATGTCTCCAGTCTTCACAGGCAGCTCTGGACACTGTAGCTTGGCCTTTCTCCATGGCCAGGGGCAGAGCAGCACAAACTCCCATAGGCAGAGAAGAAGATGGATGGGTCAGCTACTTTCAAACTTAACAGTCACTGTCCCATCCCTAGAGGCCTGTTAGTAAAGGGGTAGAGAGGTCAAGAATGTTATACTCTTGTGATGTCCTTCATGGAAAAAGAAAAAGGAGTGGAAAAGGACATGTTCACACAGAAAATAATTGCTCATTTACTTTGCCTCTCTTTCACATTCTACTGTTTTATATTGGGGCTTCCCAACACCTGCATTGTGGAATTTTGGCACATGGTTGTAAGTGTTCTGTGCAGTATAGGATGTTTTCCTGCCTAAGCCACAAAACACGCTTCGTATACTTTTCTAACTGTGACTCCCAGTAAGGTGTTAAGACATTGCAAAATATTCTTTCAGGGGCAAAATGCTCCCCCACTCAAACATGGAAGCATTGTTTTGACAGTATATGCAGTGAGGTATGTATCTGTACAGCCAATCTCATGCTGCTTTTGCCCAGAGGGAGATTTTAACTTGCATTCTTACTTCAAATGCATATTTGCTTGTTTAGAAGATGTCTTAAAGGAATGTATACCGAAAAATAAATTGAGTTAGTTGAGAACGGTGTTTGAAAGATTAATATTTATTATTTAGATTTAAAAACATATTGGTGGGCTGGAAAGGTGGCTCAGTGGTAGAGCGCTTGCCTTGCATGCCTGAGGCCCTGGGTTCGATTCCTCAGCACCACATAAGCAAAAGAGAAAAAAGCCGGAAGTGGTGCTGTGGCTCAAGTGGTAGAGCGCTAGCCTTGAGCTGAAGAGCTCAGGGATAGCGCCCAGGCCCAGAGTTCAGGCTCCACGACCGGACCCCCCAAAAAAAATATTGGTATAGTTGTGATTATTGAAGTTTATATATATGTATAACTAAAATCCTATATGGTTGATAAATAGAATGAATTTACTAATTATACATTATATAACTATTATAATTAAAATCACACATATATAAGATGATGCCTAACTACTTAAGTTTAGTCATAATTTTGGAGCAAGAAAAGCATCATATATGTGATGAGCTAAAAATTTAATTTTTACTATCTTTTATGATTAAAAGAGCTAGTGTGTTTCTTCCTGGAACAAGCTCAGAGCAAAGGGTTAGTTTTTAGTGCATCAAAATTTTAAAGTAAGAGCATATGTGTGTGTGTGTGTGTGTGTATGTGTGTGTGTGTGTGTATATATATATATATATATATATATATATACTACTTTGTTTTTACTTCTTATTGGTTAAAAAAAATCTTGTGTTGTCAGAAGATGTTTCCAAGGACATTTGTTCCATTGGTTTACTCTTAATTTTATTACCATGTTCTTAAAAGAAGACAAAAATGATGTTTCAGCAAGCATCACTTAAATTTTTGAAAAATTATTTTTCATTATTTTATCACACAGGAAGAAATCGTTACTGCATAGACAAAAATTATGCTGGCACTCTTATTATCTGGGATAGAATTTTTGGTAAGTAAAATATACAAATAGCAAAATAAATTAGTTCATTTATTCATGGAAAGTCAAGGCTTTTGTCTTAATATTTGTTTTCCAGGGACATTTGAAGCAGAGAATGAACAAGTTGCATATGGTCTAACACATCCCATTAATACATTTGAACCTTTCAAGGTGCAGGTAATATGATCAGCAATGTTTTTCTGAACTTGTATTATTTCATAAATTTACAGTTAAGAGAAAAATGAATTGATGAAAGGCACAAGTGTATTATACTGCTAATAAAGAATGAAATGTAGAAAAATCTGAAAATGAATTTTGCTTTCAAACAGAACCTTAGATCATAATGGGCAAAATATACTTTTAAAAACACAGTGTTAAGAATTTTCAAATAGCTATTATGTAGGCTGAAAAAAGTAGCATTTTAATAAGCATATTTCTTTTCAGAATAGACTAAAATATATTCATGTATTCAGAAGGAATAGTGGAAACATGTATAATTAAAGTTGATCCCCAAAAGTATTTGCTTCAAGGCTGCAGCCTCCGGTTAGAAATTCAACATAAGGCCTTTGCCCTATTCTTCTTAGACATAGATGTCAAGAACTATTACACATTGGTTAGGTCTGCACATTACCTCACCTGCTATGACTTGTTGGACTGGACCAGTTTTCTATTAGACATATGGTATTGGTTGTTCATTGGCCTCAATGGTTGACACTAGAGAAATGAAGAATGTCTGCGAAGCTCTGATATGTCAGCCTCAGTCCACCACAAAGACTCCTGGGGTTAGAGATTCATAAGTGAAAAAATGATAAGCAGGCTCAAAAAGCTGCGAAGGTCAGTCAACCACTTCTATGTACAGGGGACTTGTTGCAGCACTCAGGAAGCGGCAAAATTGTAGGTTCATGTTGGGCTCGATTTTCAAACCTACTTCCTTGAGTTTCCACAAACGTTTGAAATACCAAAATAATGGACATCTGTTTGGCGTCTACGATGTGGAGCACATTGGAAACAGCACAGCACAAAATATTTCATGTCACTATTACTAAAAACTTATGAATGGAGCCTGTTTTTTAATCCTATTTGTTAGAGGAGTGTATTAATCAGACTTTCATCACTGAGAGAGAATACCTGAAACACTACCAAGGGGTGAGGATTAGTTTGGGATCATGGGTTCAAATGGTTCAGTCCAGGTTTGCTTGGCGCCATATGCTTTGGCAGTAGATCTTGACGGTAGAAGCTTGGGGTGGAACAGGCCGATCCCCTACAGCAGACGGGAAGCTGAGAAGGGAGAAGAGACAGGACTAGGACCTTCAATGACACACCATCAATGACCCATTTCCTCTAGCTAATCCCCCAGCCCCCAAGGTTACTACCACATGCCCAATACCTACTGGTGACATAGAAGTCACCAAATGAGCCTGTTGGTGGACCTTTCCTATTCAAACCTTATCATAGGAAAATTGGTGTTCGTAGCATTTAAATAACTTATCCAGGTTCACAAACCTTGTCAGCTGCAAATTTGCCCCAATCAATCAACACTCAAATTCCTTTAACACTGTTTAATCTTTATACTATACTATGTGTATTATACATTAAAAGCAATGGAAAATTTCTATCTGTTTATATGTCAAATGAGAAATGTTTATTATTTTGCCTCTTATTTATTCTGAGCAACTGAAGCATCTCTCTCTGTCTCTCTGTTGTATTTTATTAGGAAAATGACATATCCTTCAGGAGACATTCAGCAAATTTTTTAGTTATTTTCTTAATAATAATCTTTAGAGAATTGAACCCAATTTAGAAATAATACATTGAAAGTCCTTCATGTAAGATTTGTCTTCTTCCTATGAAGATTTACAAAGAAATAGACAACTTGGTTGCAATGCTCAAGGAAAGACTTTTCCAAGCCTAACAACAATAGGAATCACAGAAGCAACTTAGCAAAATATAGATTCAGCTCATCAAGTCTAAGACCTGGTCTAAAAGTGTCTATGTTTTCAACAAGTTCCTAGATGATATCAATGCTTCTGGTTGATGGACAATTTTCATAGCAAGCCTTTGTGAATAAACACTTGCACATGTCAAATCCTTGGTTGAAGATAAACCTTCATAGTTGAGGCAGAGAATAGGATAGTGGTAAATGTCTTTAGTCAGAGCTGCACAAACTCTTGGGGGACTGCAATTGGAGTGAGGGAGAACCAATAGTAAGGTAATCTCAGGTGTGCATGAGCCACTAACATGCACTTGTTAGGCTAATTCTCCAGGTCTCTACTCTCACATACTAACATAGCCTTTAGCATAAGAAATGTCAAGAGTGGATCTAAGATTTAGTCCTCTCCATTATCCATTATAAACTGTGTGGTCAGCAAATTATGATCATGAAGAGTTGTAACTCAGAAATGTGTGGCTATTGTTGCTAGTATGCCATGATATAGAACCAAATTTCTTACCTATCATACGTGGACATTAAAAAAATAACTTATAGTGGTTCCCACTATATAGAATGTTTTGGTGGTCATTAATATTATTATATCTAGATCATTCACTTTACTTTCTCTTGGGGGTTGGAAAGTGCCAGAAAACTGGGAAGCAAATAAGAAAATGTTTTATTTCAAAATACTACCTGCTATTTCCTATGGCCTAGATCCAGAGTGATAGAAATAAAATTGCAGTTTTCAGAATAACAAAATTAAGTATTTTAATGTGTGTCAGAACACCTAAACACATAATTTTCTATATGGCTATTCAAAGTCCCAGGATAACTTTCAATTAATGTTTCCTTATCCTCAAAAATCTATTCTATCAAATACTGTGTTGTTCTTTAATTGCTTTAGATTACAATATTTCAAGCAATTTTAGTTTTTTGAAATTTTTCATGTAAAGGTGATGTACAGAGGGGTTATCTTTACATAAGTCAGGTACTGAGCTCATTACTTTTGAAAGTGTCATCCCCTCATTAATTCTCTCCCAGTTTTTTCCCTCCTCACTCCACTCCCCTCAAGGTGTATAGTTCTTTTCCAACATAATTTCTAGGGGGTATCACTGCTGAATTAGGTTCGAAACTTAGTTTTATAAACCTCATAGTTAAAATTCATCCAGGGATAGTGTAAATTCAAGCCAGACTACAAACTCTGAGAGCCACAGCTGCTTTCTCCATTAATTAATTTCTATACTTACAATATAATTTATCTTTGTAGTCTATACTGGAGACCCAAACCTTTGGATTACTTTTAATCATAAAGGGGATTATGGGCATGAATGTATGGCATGAATTGGATCTCCTAATGGCTAATATTTATCGAGTACTTATGGGTGGGCATACTTTTAACTATTGTACTTGAAAAATCTATGTTAATTAAAGAATATGGAGTCCTGCTTTGAGGCTCAATGCAAACTTTGCTTTTAGTCAGCAAATTTCACTTCTGATGACAGAAGATAGACCACCTAATAGTCAGACGTCTACTAGCTGAAATGCATTTGAAGACCTTTGTTACTAGGACTTGTCTATAACACAATAAAGTTTCAAAGTTTTGAAATTTTAACAGATATCCAATCTTTATATGCTTCTATGTATAAACTGAATTTCTATTTAGAAAGACTTGAAAAAGGATATCATCTGATATCTTTTTGTTGAGTTGTGAAGGCCTCTAGCTAATTCTACTTTGAAGCAAATCCCTCTAACTTTGTGTGTGTGTGTGTGCTCTTGCACGTGCACGTGAACATATGTGAACACACCAGTACTGGTTCAGAACTTGGTTACTGTTGCTGACTTTGCTTGTTTAAAGGTAGTGCTCTGCTTCTTGAGCCACATTTCCACTTCAAGAGCTTTTTTTTCCTTTCTTCCTTCCTTCCTTCCTCCCTCCCTCCCTCCCTCCCTCCCTCCTTTATTTCCTTCCTTCCTTTCTTCCTTCCTTCCTTCCTTCCTTCCTTCCTTCCTTCCTTCCTTCCTTTCCTTCCTTCCTTCTTTCTTTCTTTTCTTTCTTTCTCTCTTCCTTTCTTCCTCTCTTCCTCTCTTTCTCTCTTTTTCCTTTCTTTCTTTCTTTCTTTCTTTCTTTTGTTCTTTCTTTCTTCCTCGGGTGGTCTCTCATCAGAGATAATATCCTGGGATGACTTCAAACTGCAATCCTCAGATTTCATTGTCCTAATTAGGTAGGATTACAAGTGTGAATCTTTGACCAGGCTTTAGATTGTTACCCTTGGTTTTCTACTCATAATATTTTCTAACAAATGCCTGTCTTAATCTCAAAATTATAAATACATTGAACCTTAAAATATTAACATGAAAGCCCAATTGTGTATATATACCATATTTGGAATTCTATGCTTCCATCAGAAAGAATGACATCTCCCCATTCATAAGGAAACAGAAAGACTTAAAAAAATCATATTAAATAAGTAAGCCAGACCCAAAGAAACAGAAACTCCATGGTTTCCTTCATTTGTAATAATTAGTATATGTCTAGGATAGTCCTAGAAAAGGATCACAATAGCTCAATAGCTATGTACATATTATCCATTATAAGATAATGCTAAGTAAAATGAAACCCAATAAGGGGTTTTTCATTGTTGTTTTTTAATATACTATTTGAATTCTTTTTTCTTTCATATTTTTCCTATGGTTTAACCCCTGTTGTCACTGTATTTGATTTGGGTACCCTGTGTCTTGTATATGTGTCTCTGGATTAGGTAGGAGAAGGGGAACAATGAAATGATGAGACAAAAGACAATGGGCGAACCAGTACAACAGCAATAATCACAAGGAAATATATTGGAAATAAGCTATACAACTTGAGAGTGATTTTAGAAGGGAAAGTGGGAGAAAAATGAGGGAGGAGTAACAAGTTTAACAAGAAATGTACTCACTAACTTATACATGTAACTCATACATCACCTTGACAATAAAGTCAAAATATATTAATATGAAAACAAAGACAGAATTACTAAAATATATTAAAATGTAACTTATGATTTTATATCAATCCATTAATGGAAATTATATCTTAAATAACAATATGTAAATTACATTGAACAATACAATTAAATAATTAGTTGTGCTTAATTTTTATTAGCCTTATTTTAAAATAAGTTATATTTTATTTTTTCCTAGTTCCACCATTTATGTTATATATGGACTATATTCTGGACCACACCTGGATTCTTTCATAAGTTTTCTGTCCTATTTAAAGGACCAGGATGGGGTCCAGGTAAACCACGACTTGGACTACATGAAGACATACCAGAGGTAAGAAATTTCATGGAGCTGGAAATAGTGAAGACTTGTTTCATATATTAGGTCTACAGGCAGTTGGGATATATGTTTTCTTCATGCAAATCTTTTCTTTAAAAAATGTTCAGCCAGGGTCAGGTAGCTTATACCTGTAATCTTAGCTTTAGGGAAGGCTGAGATCTAAGGATGGCAGTTTCAAGCCAGCATGTTCAGGAAAGTCTGTGAGCCAGAAGTGGAGCTGTGGCTCAAGTTGTAGAGCACTAGCCTTGAGCAGAAAAGCTCAGGGACAATGTATAGGCCCTGAGTTCAAATCCCGGGACCAACTCTCTGTCTGTGTTTCCCTCCCCCCCCCGTCTGTCTGTCTGTCTGTCTGTCTGTCTGTCTCTCTCTCTCTCTCTCTCTCTCTCTCTCTCACACACACACATACACCACAAACACACAGCAGTTTAAAAAGGTGCTGTCTGCCTCGTGGACATCATTTTTTTCTCCCAGGGATCACAATTCAGGAATCAGAGCAGCAGAGGCTAGTTTCCAGCTCTAGTCAAACATAGAACAAAGACCATTTTTGCAGACTTCACAGATCTATGAATGTGCCTTGTATGCAGAGTCATAGAACACCAGAGGTTGAGGAGCCTTGAGACTCTTGTAGTCTTCTTTGGTTTTGATCATAAAAACTAAGGACTCCAAATAAAGTCTAAATTCACATCAAGACAGGCAGAATTTTGGTCATGCTATGAATAAACTCATGTCATAATATTAAATATAGTAATTAAATTTAGAAATCACATGTAGAAACCTACTATAGAATTTTTTCTTTTACTTTTTAAAATTTTTATAAGGTTTTTATTGTGAAAATACTATACAGAGGGGTTACAGTTACATGAGCAAGGTAATGAGTACATTTCTTATCAAGCATTGTTGCCTCCTCCTTTGTTTTTTTTTTAAACACTGGAAACCAAATACAAATTTCAATTTTGGTTAGACATCCTCTTCTACAGAAAAGAAATAGAATTTCATTTCAATCATTCAGAGCATACAAAATTCTTTATCAACTAAATCACATTGATAAAAATATAACAACAATAGGAAGAATAGACTGCTGTCCACTTTAGAGGCTCTATTGTAATTATAAAAGCATATGAAAGTTTGAGGTAATATTATCCTTACTTTAAAATTTTTAAATTTCTTAGGCACATTTTAAGTGTGCAATTATTTATGCAACAGTCTGATTGACAGAGCTGTGAATATTTTTGTCATTTTAGGTCCAGAAAGCCTAATAGCCATTTATTCTTTTGTAATAAATCATTCAAAGTGAATATTTTAGATTTAAGTGAGTGCCAGCATGTGTATTTTAAAAGCAGCTTTCTTTTCTGTTAAATTCAGTGATTTAAGAAATTTGCTTTTAATAAAGCATTATTGTGTTGCAGGGTATGATTATAGGTACTTCGTATAGTGACCTTCTTTTCTTCTTTAACTTTTTTTTCCCTTGAATATGCTCATTGACATATTGTCAGGTAAGGGGGGCCCAATGCATTTTTTTGTTTGCCTTTAATATTGATACATTTTACTGAATCATATCTTAGTTTTGTCTTAAGGCAGACTAAATCAAAACTGTAATGTACAGTGTATCAGAAGTGAGAAATAAATATCCTGATTTATAAACACTTTTCTTTTCTTTTTTAGTAATATTTATTTTATTTTTATGTTTTTGGAGATGCAGAGGATCAAATCTGGGGCCTTACACATGTGAGGCAAGTACTGTGCCACTGAGCTATAGCCACAACCAAATGCAACAGTTACTGAGCACCAACACCATGCTAACATCTATCTAGTGCCTACTGTATGGCAGGTGTTTATAAACACTTTTCAATGTAAGGGTCTTTTCACATATTCTTTTGTTGCGTTTGACATAGTGTGAATTTGAATATGCAAGAAAGCCCTGGAGCATTATGAAGAAGAGACTTCTTTCTTATCTTCCTAGGTCACAGGAAAAGAAGTTCCTTTCTCATCCTCAGCATCTCAGCTGCTGAAGATATATGCAGGGGTGCAGTTTGCTTTGATGCTAGCATTTTATGAAGAGACATTTGTGAATACAGCAGTAAGCAATAATAATTTTAAATTGAGGGTGGGAAAACTATTATATAAAAATGCCTCCCTCCCATGTGGCTGATCTCTTGTCTTTCATATAATTATCTTCTTCAATGTTGGAAATATCTGAAGTGATCAATCTTACATTTAAACAGGTAAGCTTATTCTTCCAGAAAACTAAATGTAAATGAATTAATTACATCTAAACCACTGTTAACAGAGTGTTAATCAAATGATATGCTATCAATGGAATCAATAAATTATTTTCCATAATTAAATTTTACCACAATTACGATAAAATTCACAATTAGTGGCCAATTTGGGAAAATTTCTAATTTGAAATATATTGCTCATTTTTTTCTAATATGGGGACAATTGTTTTGTTTCATAAGAATACTCATATTGCCTGTATTTGAGAGAGAATGAAAATAACTGAAAGCATATAAAAAGGACTAATAATTTTTAAAATGATAAATATAAGCATGTTAACATATATTTCAGCTATATACATATTTATAATATATTTTTATGAAAACATTTACAGTAGTTCAAATATGTACATGAAAAAAAGAAACTCAACTGAAAGTATGCAAAATAGAAAATAGCATCCCAGAAGAGTAAGGAAATTACTGACTTTGTTACAACGAAATAAGAAAGGGAGAAAATAAGAAAGTAATAGAGCAGGTACATGTGTGAAAGTGACATGAAGAAGCCCTTTACATCTATAATTTAATATACACCAAGAAAAATATACATCTTATAACAGATTCTTACTGTATCATAAATATGGTAGGTGGCACAATAACTCTGCATGAGTAATGATGATACTTTAGCAAAAGATTTCCAGTTTAGTTACACTTACTTTCAAGGTCTGTAGGACACCTAATATTGAGGGATAAAAATGTACAGAATATCTATTACAATGCTAGCAAAAGTTGAAAAGTACCTACAATGCTAAAAAATTATTTAAATAATATTAATGTGAGTAGGAAACAGAGTGTTTATTCTGACAACTGACCTAAGACCTCTGATAATTCCTACGGAAATGAACTAAAGGAACAAAGCTACAGCTTTCATAACTCTGATTTTAAAGAAAAAACAGGAAAAACGATTTCTAATAAAATAACTGACAACTAAATGCTCTCACAGTAAAGGGAAGACAACACTAGGAGAAAGCCAAAATATGAACTGGAAGTTTTCTTAACTTGCACTTAGTTAAGGAGATGAAAAACCTTCCCTGAGATTTTTAACCACCTAGACGTCATAAATATGGATCTAGATTTACACTAACCATGGTCCAGATAAACCCTGAATAGGTATATACTTTAAATTCAGATTTAATGTCAGGTACTTAAAAGAAAGAGATTCAGATCTTACACCCAGAAAACACATAATCCCAAAGGAAAGCATATTCCCTTAGTTAACATTTCAACAATGACTTTAGGAGAATGGTAAAGAAAGAGAAATGGAAAGCGTGTATTTGATATATTTAATTCAAATATATATGTGTGTGTGAGTAATAACACAAATAAATCCTTTTATGCTCATTTATATAATTTATGCTATTATTAAGTAAAAGTCATGAAAGGGCACTGGGAAAATCTTCAGCTGAAAGAATAGAATAAAATCCTCAAAGTTTTAAAAATGGAATTAAACTATCAATTAAGTAAACAGTCTGCTTGAAGAGGCTTAAAAGATTAAATCTCTTTTAAATAGTAAATTTAACTTTTGGGTTATTGCTAATCATTTCATTATAGAATTATAATGGAATTATTTTAAGTACTTATTTGAAATAATAATTCACCCTAAGTTATATTTTCCATGTAATTTATTTATTGAATTATAGGAAATGTAAACATTGCCTTACTCATGTAACTAACCTATCTGTACAGTATCTTTACAATAAAAAATATATAAAATTAAATCTATTTGAAACAGGATGCTAAATATGTTAAGAAAGAACGTTTTTCTTTTTCTCTTTTGCTTATATTTGTGTTGGAACTCAAGACTTCAAGACTGTTTTTCTTGCTTTCTCATGGCTGGTGCTCTGTCATTTGAGCCATACCTCCAGCCTTGCTTTTTACTGATTATTTTGGAGATGGAGTCTCAGGGACCTTTCTGCCCAGACTGGCTTTGAAGCTCAATCCTCTATATCTTTTGTTTCTCTTCCAATGATACTCAGGAAGATTTTTTATAAGTTTTTTATTGTGAAAATACTGTACTGTACAGAGGGGTTACAATCACATGATCAAGGTAATGTGTACATTTTTTATTGTGAAAATATTGTACAGAGGGGTTAACATTACATGGGCAAGAGAATGAGTACATTTCTTATCAAGCATTGTTGCCTCCCCCTTTTTTCCCCTTCCCATCCCTTTCCATACCCCCCAAACCCCAGATCCGATCCTCCCCCCCACACCAAAGTTATTAAGTTCGTTTTTCGACATAACAACTTGTACATCTCATTGTTGCAATGGGTCCACCTGTATCCATTTGCCCTTCCCTTCCACAAATTATACCAACATCAAATACAATGAAAGCAGGGGTTATACTGTGGGGGAGGGACATACAAAGTAACAAAGAAATAATCTTATAAATATGTTAAAAACAATCACATGAAAGAAAAAAAAACATTTGAATACTTTTCTTGGGGTTCATTTCCCTAATATCAACTTATCTGACCTTTTCTGTTTGACTCAGACATATTCTAGTTATTGCAAATAAGGGAAACCATAGGACCTATGTTTCTTTAGGCCTGGCTTACTTCACTTAATATAATTTTTTCCAAGTCTTTCAATTTCCTAACAAATGGGGCAATGTCATTCTTTCTGATGGAGGCATAGCTAGCAAGATCAATAGAAAGCCCTTGGATTGGGAGAAGATCTTCACTAGCCATACAACAGACAAGGGTCTTATATCTAAAATATACCTGGAACTCAAAAAATTAAATCCCCCAACAACAAATCCTCAAAGAAACAACTGCCCAATAAATAAGTGGACTAAAGATTTAAAGAGAAAATTATCTGAAGAGAAAAGAAGGATGGCCAATAGACACATGAAGAAATGCTCAACCAACCTAGCCATAAAAGAAATGCAAATCAAAACAACATTGAGATACCACCTCACCCCAGTTAGAATGGCTTTAATCAGGAACTCTAATAACAACAGATGCTGGAGGGGATGTAGACAGAAGGGAACCCTACTGCATTGTTGGTGGGAGTGTAAACTTGTTCAACCACTTTGGAAAGTAGTATTGGAGGTTCCTCAAAAGACTACACATCGAGCTCCCCTATGACCCAGCAATCCCACTTTTGGGCATTTACCCAAATGATCACAAACATGACCATACTAAAGCTACCAGCACAACTATGTTTATTGCAGCATTATTTACCATAGCTAAGATATGGAACCAACCCAGATACCCCTCAGTAGATGAATGGATCAAGAAAATGTGGGGACTGGGAAGGTGGCTCAGTTGTAGAGCGCTTTCCTTGCATGCATGATTCCTCAGCACCACATAAGCAAAAAGAAAAAAAAAGCCAGAAGTGGCGCTGTGGCTCAAGTGGTAGAACGCTAACCTTGAGCTGAAGAGCTGAGGGACAGTGCCCAGGCTCAGAGCTCAGGCCCCAAGACCATACACCCACCCATAAAAAAACAAACACCATTGTTGCCTCCTCCTTTGTTTTTCCCCTACCATCCCGTCCCTCCCACCTCCTCAACTACACCCCCTCTGCTCCCTTCCTGTCCCCCCTCGAAATTGTAAAGTTCGTTTTTCCACATAGCATCTTGTACATCTCATTGTTGGAATGTGTCCACCTGTATCCCTATTTAAACAATTTGTTTTTTCCCTTCCGCTCCCTAAATTATACCAACATCAAATACAGTGAAAACAGGAGTTATACTGTGGGGGAGGGACATACAAAGCAACCAAAAAAATCATGTGATACCTTATAAAAACATTAGAAACAATAGCAAGAAAGAAAAAACCACTTGTGTCCTAAGTTCAGATAAGATGATGTTAAGCGATATGATACTAAGGAAAAATTTTTAAATGGATGTTTCCAATATGTCAAGAAACATCTTAAAGATATAATAATTGGTTATATACTTGCTGGCTGTTTACTTTCTCTTATATGTATATAAATAATGACAAAAACAATCCCATGCAGTGCTTGAGTGGTTTGCCAGTTGTTCTCAAAAGAGAAAAACAAACTTAAGAATTTATTTCAGGAAGAAAGCCCTTATGAGAAGCACATGAAACACATTACTCCCAGTTTTGTGCAAGTAGACATCAAATTACCAAAATAACCAAACTTCATATGCTCAATTGCTGTGAAAATTCCACGGTGGAAAAGCTCCAAACCATGTCCTTATCTGTAGGCACCAAAATTTGTAGGTGTCCAAGTCCATTGTATAAATTGTTGAATAATTTCATACACATGTCTGTTTATATTTTTAATCATCTGAAGATCAGATTTTCAGGGGTTAAATGACAAGAAAAAGGATCGTACATGTTCAGAACAAATGAAATTTTAGTGGCTGTTTAGAATCTTATTTTGTTTATCTGAACTTGTCAAACAATGTTGGAAACTTTACTAAAGCTCTTTATCCTACGGACTCATACCAACTCTACAAGAGGCTGTATATACATTATCTTCATATGTTCTCTCAAAATATGACCAGATTGTATGTTCATGGAGAGAGTGTAGACATTTAGTTGATCCAAAAGAAAAGCTACTTCATCTGTATCATCATATCACACTCATGAATTAAAATTTTATTATCTTTGAGTAGTTGTAGAAAGTTGCCATTTTATTTTTTATATACAGGAGTCATTGACATTGCATATTATACAGTTCCATTAGCAGTACCCTTTGACATATTTAAAATCTAATTTTTGCTATGTTCATTGTTTATATTCTTCCATTTTACACTCGCACACTTATATTGCCAGTAATTTTCCACATTTGTGCCATGATCACAATTTAAATTATACCTAATTATTTTTCT